AGGCAGGCAGAACGCTTGAGCTCAGGAGTTGGACCTGCCTGGGCAACGTGATGAAACCCCAGCTGTACAAAATACACAAATATTCGCCAGGCATTGGGGCACACTCCTGTCTGTGGTCCCTGTCACCTGGGGACTGAGGTCGAAGGACCACTTGAGCCCGGGAGGCAGAGGCTGTCGTGAGCAGAGATTACGCCACTGCACTCCAACCTGGATGACAGAGGGAGACCCTGTCTCCAAAAAAAAAAAAAAAAAGAATTGACAAAATGCAAAGTTGGTATTCAAATGGAGTAAGAGTGTGAGAGCAGAGAAAGGAGACAGAGACGTCGCCTGAACCTAGAGGGACCGTAGCCCGAGAAGGAAGGATTTGGGAAACATGCCTTAGCTTCACCGTCACCAACTACTAGACAGGCTTTAATGTGGAAGAAAGCTACATTTTGTCTCGTTTAGATCCAGGCAGTTGAACAGAGCCCAGCATAAGTAGCTTTTGTTGTAACCACTTTGTTTTTGCTCAGGAGCAAGATTATATTAAATTTTATTAAATGTAAGTTTACAATTAAATTAATTTTGTACTTTAAAACACTCCCAACTTAAAAGTTACAAAAACTATACACAAAAAATTGAAAAATAACTGTTGGCATGATGAAAGCTATTAATTGAATTATTTATTGTGTACTTTCTACAAGCAAGGAAATTAACATCAACACGTTACCACTATCTCATAAGCAGACTGTGTTCTGATTCTCCAGTTGTCTTCTCGTTGTCATTTATAACACACAGATCATGGCCGGAATCCCTGAATTGCTGTTTCATCTTTTCGTGTCACTCTTTGATATTTAGTGGGAACAGCTTGTCAAAGTCCTTTGTAAAGCAGAAATTACTTAATGTTTGATGCTATATCCTGACTTTCTTTAAGGTTATATTATAACCCTCATTTGTAAAACTGTGTATCTTTATGTGTGTGTTTGTGTGTGTGTGTGTGAGAGAGAGAAAGAGAGACAGAATTCACCCACTAGTAAATTAAACACTTGATCAAACTAAATATATTAGATGCTATTTCTGCTTGAAGGGAGGGCCATGTGTTTTTTGTATTCTTTTTTTTTTTTTTTTTTTGGAGACGAGTCTCGCTCTGATTGGCCCAGGTGCAGTGGCGTGATCTCGGCTTACTGCAAGCTCTGCCTCCCGGATTCACACCATTCTCCTGCCTCAGCCTCCCGTAGCTGAGACTATAGGCACCCACCACCATGCCCGGCTAATTTTTTGTGTTTTTAGTAGAGACGGGGTTTCACTGTGTTAGCCAGGATGGTCTCGATATCCTGACCTCATGATCCACTCCCCTCGGCCTCCCAAAGTGCTGGGATTATAGGCATGAGAAGCCGCGCCTGCCCTTTTGTATTCTTATAAAATCTTTTCTTGCCAACCACAGTGGTGTGTCCCTGTTATCCAAATTACTTTGGAGACTGAGGCAGGAGGATCACTTAAGGCCAGAAGTTCCATGCTGTAGTGGACTATGATCACACCTGTGACTAGCCACTGCATTCTAGTCTGGGCAACATAGCAAGACTCTATAAAAAAAAAAAATAACTCTTCTGCTCACATTTTCTGGGGTAAAGATATTTTATGTTATAATATGAGAAAAGGACACAGATACGTTTTTCTTTATAGAAAATAGCTGCCCTAACAGGCCAAGGGACAAACATGGATGCAAAAGAATGAAAGTTTGGAGCTGGAAAGAAGTCCAAGCTCTGATGGGTTTTGTCACTTGGGGTGAAGGCAATGTGAGACAGAGCCTGGGAGAGGTGAGGTCTGGAAGCCACTCACGCCCATCTCTGCCTTGTCCCCACAGGTCCAAGTTGACTCTGCCACCATCTCCCGGCAGGACGAAGTTCCCCCGCTGCCAGTGGCCTCACAGCAACAGAGGCGCAGCCTCGAGGAGAAGTGTCCAGCAGGTGCACTTCTATTTTTAAAAATCAGTTTACTTTTAATTGACAGATAAACATTGTATATATTTATGGGGTACACCATGATGTTTTGAAATATGTACACATTGTGGAATGGCTAAATCAAGCTAATTCACATACTTATCATGTATTTGTGGTAAGAACAATTAAAAATCTACTCAGCAATTTTCAGCTGTACGGATACAGAGCCCTGGGATAAGCCCTCTTCGCCCTCCTCATCTGCAGGTTCTGCATTCATGGTTGCAAACAACACAGATCAAAAATGTGGAAAAAATAATGAAAATGATAATACATCAATAAAAGTAGATAAAAAGCAATGCAGTATAGCACTTGTGTACATAGCATGTTTATTATATTAGGTATTACAAGTAACCTAGAGATGAGTTAAAGCATATATGCCTGAGTTATATGCAATACTATCCCGATTTGTATCAGGGAGTAGAGTATGTGCAGTTTGTTTCATGGAATACATTCCCTGTGAATAGAAGGAAGAACTGTCCAACATTGTTTTAATAACTGTAGTGAGCATGTCGCACAATACATCTCTTGAATTTACTTCCCCCTGTCTCACTGAAATTTTGTATCCTTTTACTAACATCTCTCCAACCCACCATCCAACTGCAGCACTGGTAATCACCATTCTACTCTCTACCTCTATAAGATTAACTTTTAAGATTCCACATATGTGAGATCATAAGGTGTTTGTCTTTCTGTGCCTGGCTTATTTCACTTAGCATAGTATCTCCAGGTTCATCTATGCTGTCACAAATCACAGAATTTCCTACTTTGTTAAGGCTGAATGGTAATCCATTATGTCTGTGTACTACATTTTCTGTACCTTTTCATCATCGATGGACACTTAGGTTGATTAAATGTCTTAACCATTGTAAATAATGCTCCAGTGCACATGGGAGGGAAGATATCTCTTCAACATACTGATGTCATTTCTTTTGGATGTATACCCAATAGTGGCATTGCTAGATCATATAGTTGTTCTACATTTTGTTTTTTGAGGAACCTCCATACTGTTTTCCATAATGGCTGTACTAATCTCCATTCCCACCAACAGTGCACCAGCGTTCCTTTTCCTCCCCATCATCATCGACACTTGTTACCTTTTGTCTTTTTGGTAATAGCCATTCTTACAGGTGTGTAGTGATATTTCACTGTAGTTTTGATTTGCATTTCCCTGATTAGTGATGTTGAGCATTTTTTCATGTATCTGTTGGCCACTTCTATGTCTCCTTTTGAGAAGTGTCTATTCAGGTCCCTTGCCCATGTGTCCATTTTAATTGGATTATTTGATTGCATGCTATTGAGATGTCTGAGTTCCTGTGTATTTCGGATGTTAACCAAAATCTTGGATCTTTTGGATATTGATCTCTCAACCTGTAGGTTGTCTCTTCACTCTGTTCATTGTTAACTTTGTTGTGCAGAATCTTTTTAGTCTAATGTAATCTCATCTATTTTTGCTTTTGTTGCCTGTGCGTTTGGGGTCATAGCCAAGAAATCATTGTGCAGAGCAACGTCCTGAAGATTTTTCCCCTGTTTTCTTGGAGTAGTTTTACAGTATCAGGCCTTATGTTTAATCTTTAGTCCATTTTGAGTTAATTTTTACATATGATGTGAGATAAGGGTGTTATTTCATTCTTCTGCATGTCAATAACTTATTTTCTCAACACCATTTATTGAAGAGGCTGTCCTTTCCCCATTTGGTGTTCTTGGTATCTTTGTCACAATCAGTCGACTGTAAATGCATTGATTTATATCTGGGGTCACTATTTCATTCCATCAGTTGATCTTCATTTATGCCATTACTATTCAGTTTTGATTACGATACCTTTGTAATATATTTTAAAATCAGTTAGTATGATGCCTCCATCTTTGTTCTTTTTGTTTGTTTTGCTTAAGATCACTTTGGCTATTTGAAGCTTTTTGTGGTTCCATACAAATTTTAGAATTGTCTTCTCTGTTTTGGTGAAAAATGTCATTGGAATTTTAATAGACATTGCACAGAATCTATAGATCACTTTGGGTAGTTGGATGATTAAACACTACTGAGTTTTCTAATCCATGAACATGTACTGTCTTTCCATTTATTTGTGTCACTTTCCATTTATTTCTTCAATGTTTTAAAGTTTTCAGACCTTTCACCTCTGTCATAAATTCATTTAAGAGTTTCTGCCTTGACATCCATTTTTAGGCCCGATATAAGTTGTTTAAAACCCAATCATACCACAGCATCTTTTGCCCAGTTAATAATTCCTTTCCCTCTTCAATTGTTTTTGATCTAGCACATCTGTTCTTCATCTCCCTGACCCCAAACCCAACACATCCCACAGCAGCTGACTACAATAAAACCTAATAGCTCACACCAAAGCAGTGTGAACCTTCTTTGCAGGTGTTGTCTTCCACAATCCCTGTGGGAAAGCCTAGGCTATAATGCCCATGGATCTTTATAAAGGCCTAGTCCCATGGGTGCTCTCTGTCTCTTGCTCCCCACACTGGTTAGTGTCCTTGGACTGGATGGCTCCCTACTTCTTGTAAGTGCTGCAAAGTGTGCTCTCCTCTTCTCTCTGGAGTCTGTAAGTTATACAGCACTTCTGTATTTCCTGTGTTTTGTCATGTTGCTTCCTCTGTGTTTTTCCTGACACATCTGAACCTAACTTCTTTTAAAGAGTGGCTATCTTTTAGAGAGTGGCTATCTCCTAAGGAGTAGAGATAACTTAAAACTAGACATAGGTCAGACAAGAGGCACAGGGGCATCTGCCAGTAAAAGTAATTGTCTTGTGGAAGGGACACCTACAAGATGAACACCTAATTAGGCATTAGGCAGTCCACCAGGATGAGGAAGTTTCCTGTGAACATTTGTGATGAAATCCACTGGATCCACATCAGGGCAAAGCTAGAGTTTATAGACTCCCTACGGAGAAAAACCTCAAGACCAAATCAGAAAAAAAAATTCAGCTACCACCTTGGTTGAATTTATTCCTAAGCATTTTTTTGTGTGGCTATTATAAATGGGATTTTCCAGATAGTTTCTTGTTAATGTATAAAAACTTGACCATGTACTTACTTTAAGCACCTAGTTTTATATTTTCACGTGGTTTCATGTATCCAGTTAGTGTTCTATTCTCTCAGATTGAATAACTGTTGGGGTGATCAGACCCAACACCAGGCTGTGGGGGCTACGAAGTCTGGTGGAGTCAAATGAATGAGAAAACACAAGTTGAGAGAGAAAGTGGGACCAGGGGGCCAGTGCTAGCATGGAGGCTGTGAAGGCCCGGATCTCTGGCGGCCCACACTGTTTATTAGTGATCCAACAAAGAAACAGGTAGTGAGGATGTGGGGGTTGAAAGAAACGATGTGATGGTTTAGCATTTTCTTTGAAACTTGAGATAATGGGGGTGCTAGAAGCAAGGAGCCAGCAAGTTCAGACACATTCCAGACGCCACAAGGGGTTTTAAAGCCTGGACCCTGGACAGGTTCTAAGCCCTGCCTCGGCTTCTCCGCCGACACTCAGCGTTTTCCCAACATGCCCCCCTTTTCTTTTTTGTAAAACTGTCACAGCTATCATTGCTTGTTCTCGATGGCAGCTTCTCTCCAGTGGTGGTTTCCGCATCTGCAGACTAAAAGGAGACAGCACAAGCATATGATTGTTAGAACCAAATTTGCAACTGTAGAGGTTTCAGTGGCCTTAATCCATTTAAGAGGAGTGATTGTCGACCCATCGGCTGTCTTGTTCAAAATATCAGTTCCAGGGAGCAGGTTCAAGTGAGCCTGAGAGGCTTCAAAAACCTGCTCTTTTAGTTTTACAATATCAAGGGTGAGATTTTCATCTCTGCCTTCCAGATGATGTTTAAGAGTAACATAACACAACTTCGAATCCAAAAGGTCCTCTTTTTGTTTTTAAATTAATTGAGGAAGGCAATTGCAGGCTGTGCAGCCTTAACTTGCCGGTTGGTGATCCAGCTTCATTTTTCTTCGCCCTTATTCAAAATGGAGCCTGGTTTGAATGCTTCTTACTTATTTCCCCCTTCCCTTTTCCAAGAGGACACTTAATTCTAAGGGTTGCAGAAGGATGAAGGTCTGTCTTCTGTAACTTCTTCATGCTGAATAGGGCTGATGAAATTCCTGCCTACCCATTAGGGTCTCTTGTATTCAGGGTAGAGAGGAGTTCAGTCAGACAGCATTGGTCCGTTAAGCATCTATTGTACCTCTGAATCCCAACAAAAGGTAAAACCCTGGCGCTCCAGCAGTTTCTCAGCATGGTTCATACTGGGGGAACCCGGTCCATGGTTGGGATCCATGGATCCCTCTGGTCTCCCATTCCATGGTCGTGCACGTCTTGAGGGCACCCACATGGTTTGTTCATCTCCTGCAAAAACACAAACATACCCTCACCCCTACGTTACTAAATCTACTGAAATAGAAGCAAAGGCCTCCTTTTTTTTTTTTGTTTTTCTGAAGCATTTGTACCTCAGCCTCTGCCTCTTTGGTTATTTACCGCAGGGTAAAACTTACCATTGAGAATGAGAAGCAGGCTTTTTCTGATTAACAGAAGGCATAGAGAAAGCAAATGGAGGCTTATCCTTCTTGTGCAACAGTATAGCAAAAAAGCAATCCTTAAAACTTCAATTTGCACTGTACATGTGGATCCACTAGATGCTGTGGTGATGTGTCTTGATGATGATCTCTCCATATTTAATCTGTTTGGGATTTTTTGGGCTTCATGAATGTGGATGTCCATTCCCATCCAGATTTGGGACGTTTTCTTTAATTATTTCTTTAATTACACTTTCTGTTCCTTTCACTTTCTCTGATGCTCCTTGGACCACCATAATGCATGTATTATTTTGCTTCATGGTAACCATTGGTACTGTTGACTTTCTTCCCTCTTTTTCATTCTTTATTTTCTTTTTCTTCTTGTGACTTAGTAATTTCAAATGCTCTGTTTTCAAGCTCACTGATTCTTCTGATTAATCAACTCTGCTGTTGACATTCTCTGTGGAATTTTTTAGTTCAGATATTGTGGTGTTTAATTTTAGATTTCTGCTTGGTTCTTTATTATGCTGTCTGTATATATTAAACTACTCATTTTGATAATGTATTGTTTTCTGACATGACTTAGTTGTCCATCTGTATTCTCTAGTAGCTGACTGAGCTTCTTTAAGATGAGTATTTTCAATTCTTTGTCAGGCTGTTGTAAATGTCTGTTTGTTTCAGGTTGGTTACTTGTGCTTCACTTTGTTTCTTTGATGCCATCACAGTTTCCTGATTGCTCAGGAGCCTGTGGCAATGTGTTCGAATGTGCACTTTGATGAATCTGGGATTAACTGCAGTATCTACAGACTGGCTTTGTCAGGGAACTCCCTTCACCAGTCGGCCTGTTCACAGATTCTCGACAGGCCATGTGGCGTGTTTCAAGGGTGGTCAGAGCCTGTATCCAGAGAGGTGACCTGAGGCCTGGTTCCATGGGGGCTGAACTGGCACTGGAATAGGCCTTGTACTTGGGTCTGCAGATATTAGCCAGGTGCTGCGATGGGCTTCATCCTTGGGTCCACAGGCAAGGACCTAGAGCCTGAGTTCATGGGGACTGATGTGGCACTAGGGCAGACCTGGAAGCTGAATCTGTGGAGGTAGGTCAGGATTCTGGGTCTGTAGTGCTAGCCTGAAGGCACAATCTAAGACTGATATCTTAGCTTATCATGCCCTTATCTCTATGTGCTTTCAGACTTCTGTCTCCTGCACTTTCTGGCTCTTTATTCCATAGGGATACGTTGGATGATTTCTGTCAGTCAGGCACCATGCTAATGGGGATAATTATCAGAGGCCCTGCCCTCATGGAACCTTTTCTCTGGGATAGTATTAAGACACACAGATCAAAATAACAGTCAGAAATTCCTGATTGGAACCATGAAGAATAATCAGGTGATGAGTGAGACGGAGACGAGGTTGGTGGGGCCTCTCGAGGATGGTGATTTTGGCCAGTATCCAAAGTTGGACAGGGATAGTTGTGCAGAGAGCCAGAAATAGTGCTCCTGAGCAGCCTCCCTGGGAATGAGAGCCGCAGGGTGCAGGGGCTGGGGGATACTGAGCAAAGACAGGGCCACCATAGTGAGTGGACAGCAAACAGGTCAGGTGGACCAGCATGGGCAGATCACATGTAGACGAGGTTGGATTTTATTTTGTTATTTTATTTTATTGTTAAAAAAAAAAGAAAGCCTGAGTGTGGTGTGGTGTGGTGGCTCATGCCTGTGATCTCAGCACTTTGGGAGGCCCAGGCGGGTGGATCACCTGAGGTCAGGATTTTGAGACCAGCCTGGCCAATATGGTGAAACACCGTCTCTACTAAAACTACAAAAAATCAGCCGGACGTGATGGTGGGTGTCTGTAATCCCATCTACTCGGGAGGCTGAGGCAGGAGAATCGCTTGAACCTGGGAAGTGGAGGTTGTAGTGAGCTGAGATCGTGCCACTGCAGTCCGGCCTGTGCAACAAGAGTGAAACTCCATCTCCAAAATTCGTCTCCAAACAACAACAACAACAGCACAAGAACAACAAAAGCACAAAAGTAAAATATTTCAAAGATTTGTATTGATTACATATTGAAATGTAGTGTTCTGGATATTTTAGGTTAAAAATAGATTGTTAAAATTAATTTGACCTCGTTCTTTTTACCACTTTAATATGGTTCTCATAGAATTTAAATTTCTTATGTGGTTTGTATTATATTTCTGTCAGTAGTGCCAGTCAAAGGTATGTAATAGATGCAGAATTGATGACAAGAGTGGATTTCTCTCTCTGAATTCCACCGAGGGCCAAAAGAGAAGTTTCCCCACCACTCTCAGCCTCTGGGAATTCTGCGGTGACCCATTCGTTGGCTTTTCTCTCCCTTCTCAGGATCTCATAGATCAGAACATACTGGAGCCTGTAACGCATGCACAAAGGGTGTGGATTACACCAATGCTTCCAACAATGAACCTTCTTGCCTCCCATGTGCAGATTGTAAATCAGGTACAGAACCTCTCGTCCAGAGGTGGAGTGCAGGAATGAGGTGGGAGTTGTAGCCGACATGAGTCAGGGAACCAAGTTCCAGCCCAACTTGGTCTTCATCACCCTGTTTCATGATTATGACTTTGGTTGATTAAACAAAAATAGAAAGAAATATTTTCTATGATGCATGCCACCTGGCTGGGAAATCTTCTAAACTATTGGCTGCAAGGAGCTGGGGGCATCATTACAGCACAGAGAAGTCCTGGCTGAGTGGATGGGGCTGAATTTTAGCGTTGGCACGGGTCTGCTCTGTGGCCAGGCTGTCTTCCCCGGGCTTTGTGTTCCTGGCAGGTGCTCGGGCTTGCTCAGCCTTCAGGTTCTCAGGCCTCTACCGCCTCCCCAGCAGGCTGGTTTTTTGGGAAGTCACCTAAGGGCTCCTCCCCTTGCAGAGTCTCTCAGATGATACCCTGTGCCTCCTTTGCTACTGACCATGTCATCTAAATGGTGCTTTTTCCCTAATCTGATGTAATAAATAATGAATCACGGACCTTTTGTATTGGTTCTTATGTACAGGGTGGGTGTCCTGTGTGAGCCCTGAGTGTGCTGGCGCAGAAACCGGCCCTCAGAACTCCTTGGCGAACTGAATTGAGCTGAGCTGAGGGGGAGGGGTTGGGGTGGTGAGGAAGGATCAAGAGAAACATCAGGGAAACACATTCCCAATACCTTGTGCTCTGTCATCAGATGAAGAAGAGATGAGTCCCTGCACCACGACCAGCAACAGAGTGTGTCAGTGCAAACCAGGAAGTTTCCGGAATGGCAATTCCACTGAGATGTGTCGGAAGTGCAGCACAGGGTGAGACAGCAGCCAAGGGGCTCCCGACAGCTGTCAGGAACCTGAGAAGATCTGAGTCACCGGGTACCCTTATCTCTCCGCTTACCCCGTGGAGCCTCCAGTCCCATGAGGCATCCCTGAGCCTTTGGGGTCTCTTGAGCCTGCGGTGGCCCCTCCTGGTCCATCTGCCTGTCCCCACCCCTATCCCCTGCAGCAGCCCCTACCCACCCCTCCCTCCCCAGCATGAGTCCCTTTGGCCAGGCTGAATTGTTCACTGGGCAGGAGGTGACTTTCTAGGTCCCTTGAACCTTTTCAGGGGATCTAGGAAATGGGATTTCCTTTGAAATCAGAAGAAACACTTGATCCAGTGTGGCTTGTATTTGTCCTTATTCCAAATTGGTTTAAGAAATGTAATGTTTCATATTTTTTATGCAGGCGGGGACCCATGAAGGAAAAAGTGCCTGTAGCTCACAAAAATCATAATAAGGCTGTGGGTGGAGCTCCCTTAAGTTCCCATGAGGACCTGAGCCCACCCCGCCGGCCTCACTCCTGGCCCCTGACTTCTCAATAAGTCCTTCTTTTTCCTATTTGGGTTTTAGGGGCAAAGAGTAACTTGCTCTTCTCTGGCCCTCCACTGTTTGCTGTGATTGGGAGGAACTAGCAGCAGACAGGGTGGGGCGAGGGCTCACTGGTACTGTGGGTTAACTGGAGGAAGGGGCTCAGCTTGTGGCCACAGGGGCTTGTGATCTTCCCCTGGAGTGTGGCTCCTCCTAACGCAGCCTCCACTGCAGCCCAGGGAAGCTCCGTGTGTGCCCGGCACAGAAGGCTCCTGGAGCTGCAGCTCTGACCCCAGAGCAGGGAAGCCGAGGGGCTGAAGTGCGCATGCTCAGACCCTTCCCCAGCCTCAAGAAGGGAGCATAGGGAGACCCTCTGCTGACACAAGGAGCCTGTCCTCCTCTGACATCTTCTCAAGGACATTGGGCAGGGAGGGTGGCTCCTCTTTCATCTCACCTGGCCAGCTTTCCATCAGGAGTCCCCGTCTCCGTCCCTGTGTGTACCCAGGTGTCCCATAGGGAAGTTCATGGACAGTAATTGTACGCGCTGGAGTGACATCAGCTGCACTGCACCAGCTGCCAGTTCCACTGAGAAAACCATGGCGGCGGAAGACACAGTGACCACCAGCCTGGGGACTCCTGCCTCTCCCGGTTTTGTCCTAACCATCTTTAAGTGGATCATCATCGTTGCAGGGGTCTTAGGCATCATTGTGCTTATGGCTTTTTGCATTTCATGTTGGAAGAAACTCATTTCTTCACCGAAAGGCATCTGCTCAGGTAGGTGCTGGCTGAGGGTGGGGGCGCTGGACACTGTCTGCCCTTCGCCCTCCCACTCTCTTCCCACAGACAGTAATCCCCATCCATGCCCCTGGTCCAAGTGTCTCCAATCTGACTCGATCTTCCGCCTTGTGATTGCCCCATCCCCACATCCCGTGTATCCCCCAGGACCCTGGTCTCATCGCCTCTCTCGGGGCTGGGGGTCCCCTCATCTCTCAGCCAAGTCTAGGAGGGCAAAGTCAGTTCCTCCCACCTTCAGGCCCAGCCAGGCAGGGGGCAGTCGGCTCCTCAACTGGGTGACAAGGGTCAGGATGAGAAGTGGTTGTGGGATTTATTCAGCTTTGGCAAGAGCAGAACATAGAGATTTTCCACGTGTTGGTTTTTACTCTAGTTCCCCTTCTCATCCCCCTTCCTCAGGGTGTCCCCGAATTGCAAGGCCCTATTCCTGTCCCCACCCCAGGGCTCCTGGTCCAGTGTCCCTGCTCCCAGCCTACCCCTGTGCCCCGCTGTCCTCTGGGAGGGGGGTGCTGTGTGGGCGCCTCCCCACCTGCTAAGGAGACTCCTTCTCTTCCAGGTGGTGGAGGGGACCCCGAACGTGTGCACAGGGTAAGTTGGTTTCTCCAGAAAGTGGGGGCTTCATGGGTTCAGGAACTGCTTCCCATCCACTGGCGAGCCCGGGTGGACACAATTCCTTGTCCTCATAGCTGCCCTGACTCTGACGAGGCCTGGGGTATCTGGGCTGACTGTGGGGGACACATGGCCATTTTGAGCAGCACACAGACTGGCGGGCCGTGCTGCAGCCCCGTCCTTCCTGCAGCCTGGGTGACACCATCACTCCACAGCTGGCCCCGTGGGGATGGGGTGACCACCTGACCCACCTCCGCAGTGGGTCCTGGATGTGCTGAGCCTCAGCTGCCTGGGGTGACCTCATTGGAAGGGATTGGGGATGGCAGGTCCAGCTGCCAACTGGGGACCTTGAAGCTGAGCCCTGGGTGTGGACTGGAGTGGGCTGTTTGCCTTCCCAAGGTCTTTTTCTGGTGTTCACGTCCTTCACGAGTTCATGTCCCTTCACGGGACAGAGGACAATGCCCACAAGGAGACCCTGAGTACCAGATTCTTGCAGCCCACCCAGGTCTCTGAGCAGGAAATCGAAGGTCAGGAGCCAGGAGAGCCAACAGGTGTGACTGTACAGTCGCCAGAGGAGCCACAGCGTCTGCTGGTGAGTTGAGGAGGGACTGTGCCATGCCTGGCCTGCTGCCTGCACAGGACTTTGAGGACAGTGGGAGATGGCAGTGCCTCCGCTCTCCTGGCCCAAGGGGACATGAAGCCTTTGGGAGAAGGGACTGCAGGGGACGGAGCAGCTGCACTGAGGTGGTGACTGTGCCAGTCTGCAGGACATCTGCTTCTTATTCCCTGTCCCCAGAGCCTGGATCTCCACAGGCATACAGTGGGTGTCACAGGGTTCTTTGATGACTGGCTAAGGCTGCACAGTCTCCATCGTGTGCTCTTAACAAAAGTCAGGGAGCCCCTGCTTGAAACAGCAGAAGTTTTGGATGTACTTCAAAATTCTCACTACACTGCACATACTTCACAGTAAATCTTTGTCCGGATATCTGATCAAGTATGTAAGGAGGCTTCTGGGAGGAAGTAGGATTTCTGAGTCAGTGCGTAGAAGTGCTTTTGTATTACGCAAACACACGTATCTATTCACTTGGATTCACCAGTTTTGATATGACATCGAGTAGGTGTGAAATCTGGACACACATTTTTTTTTTTTTTTAAGCTTCAAAAGTTCTTTCCTTCAAGATAAGATGATCCTATCTAATTTCTTATGGACTTTTAAAGAACGATTTGGTTTGTAGCATTCACCAGTGGAATGTAGGTGCCATTTCTTTTGTGATGCTGTGTGAAGTGAGGAACTCTCTGAACTGTTCTGAGTCACTGTCTCCTTCCTCCTCGCCTGTTTAAGAAGTGATTCTCCTCTTGTTCTCTGCTTTTGGCTCCTCTTTGATCATTTGTCAAACGCTTTTCTGGACAAGGATCACTTTCCACCCGTTTTCTTCCTTTCCTATAGCTACACCCCATGTTTTTTTTTTAATGAAGTATAAAAAGGGAAGAAAACAAACAAAAAATGTCAGCAATTACTCCATGCTGCTGAACCGCATTGCACCTTTATTTTGTAATTTGTAGAGATCTGATCTTGCTATGTTGCCCAGGCTGGTCTCAAACTCCTGGCCTCAAGTCATCCTCTCACCTTGGCCTCCCAAAAATGGTGTTACAGGCATAAGCCACTGCACCTGGACCACGTTGGACATATTTTTTGAAAGGTAAATGCAGAATCGCACACGACTGCACACTACAGGAAGGTTCTCAGTCATTAGTGTATCCCCCAACACTTCCTCCAGCCCCAGCCCTTCGTTAACTTCAGGTAAATCGCAATAGAGAATATCTTGTGTTCTTTGTCGGGGAAACTTTATGCATATCGCCACGTATATTCATACAAGCATATGTCCATTTTGTTTACATTACAGGGATTATGTTACATATAATACACTGCTGAGGGAAACTTGTTTTCATTTTTTCTTTTTTCTTTTTCAAATTTATTTAGATTCAGGGGGTACTTATGCAAATTTGTTACCTGGTTATATTGTTTGATGCTGAAATTTGGGGTATGAATGATTTTATCCAGGTTGTGTGCATAGTATCCAACAGTTAGTTTTTCAGCCCTTCCTCCTCTCCCTCCCTCCCTGCCCTGGTAGTCGCCAGTGTCTATTGTTGCCGACTTTATGTTCGTAAGTACCTGATGTTTAGCTCCCACTTATAAGTGAGAACATGCGGTATTTGGTTTTGCGTTCCTACGTTAAATCACTTAGGATGATGGCTTCCAGCTTCATCCATGTGGCTGTAAACAATATGATTTCATTCTTTTTTATGGCTGTGTAGTATCCCATAGTGTATGTATACCACATTTTCTTCATCCAATCCACTGTTGATGGGAAGCTAGGTTGATTCCATGTCACTGCTATTATGGATAGTGGTGTTTTTTGGTAGAATGATTTGTTTTCATGTTGACCAGGCTGGTCTTGAACTCCTGATTTGCCTGTCTCGGCCTCCCAAAGTGCTGGAATTATAGGCATGAGCCACCGCGCCCAGCTGGA